TCTTTTAAAAACATAACTATTTATAATTCTCCCTAAATAATAATAAAAAAAATTACAGTGAAAGCAATGAAGGTTGTAGGTTTTGAACCAAGCTAAATATCAGTAAACCTTTTTTTGATTTACGGTATTTTCTTATTTTGATGTTTTGAGCTCTTTTGTGTTTAGAACAATATATACTAATTTTTAAATTATCAGATTGAATCTTTGTTCAATAAAAATCTTTCAAATGCGACTGTAGCTTGTTTCTCTCAAAAAACTTTGTCTTCAAAATAAGGGTGCGTCTTATACACCGAAAAATACGATATATCGACTTCATAACTAAACCAGTAAGAAAATAAAATAAATTATAGTGCATTTATACTGACCGGAGTGTTTTATGAAGGAAAATTAATTTTGCACGCACACAACAACAGCCTTGACCAAAGTAATATTTAAAATATGTTAAAGCGTGTTCTTACTTTATATTGTGGGTTGTAAATTGTAACACTCATACGTTTCTATCACGTGACACCATGTGGCGCAGCTATCGGGTATTATTATATTGTGACCTATGCGGCGCCGTTATGAGAAACGAATTACACATATTTTTGTATCTTGCACCAAAGTTATTTTACTTTAACTTTTTGATTCTGGTTTTACAATACAAAGAGTGGAAAACAATAACAACAAAATAGTATTTATAATATTTTAGCCACAAATCAAGAAAACATTTCACACTGAAAAATAATGAAATTAGGGACAGCTTATTTCCATCTATCTATCTATATATATATATATTAGTCAAATATCTATCATACTCTGTATCTCCTGAATGGTCAGGTCAAACGTAGAATATATATCAAAATACTTATTTTGAAGAGAACATTACAGGAAAATTATTCATTTTTTGTCGACGCCTAAAATTTCATATCAACATCGATCCATCAGTCTTCATGTGTGCTGAACAGTCAATCTGAGAAGAAAAAAACTTACTAAGAACAAAAGTGTTCCTTTCTGTGAGGGAATTTTACGAAAAAAAAGTGGCTTCCTCCTTCGACTGATAGGAAAAAATATTTCGAAGATTGAAGCTTGAACAGAAAAAAACACATAGAGAGAGGAATGTGTTTGAGTATATATTTGTTGTTGCTCGGTTTATATATATTTTTTCATGTCGGTATTATTTACATGCATGATTTTATTGTACCATGTCAAATAAATTGATTTAAATTCAATTGAATATCTCTAATTTGACACTTCTTATAGAAATGATATTGTTAAAAAGCACTCATTTTAGTAGCAGTCTTTCCTTGCACTCGGTAAAATGACAAGGAATGGTGGGACTCAGGTAAAAGAAATCTCCATGACTACTTAGCGAAGCTGAGCGCTCTAATGTGCTGAATGAATCCATTGCATCGAAAAACAAACATTTTTGTCAACAGTGCATTGCAGTCAGTCTCCTTTGCTTTAAAACAAACACAGTGGAATTTTCGTTATTGAAGTAATATGTGGAATGACAAAATACAGTTGTAAACTGTCCACTAGAGAATCATATTACCTATATGCTATGATCCAAGGGTTTGGGTTGACTGCACATTTTGTATGTATTCATCATTATATTTATGAAAATTGCCATTGGATTGTTTCAACGGGCATCAAGTAAATAAATAACAGCTACACACTACTTAGTTTTAAATTATTAATTGTTTTTAGGTGAAAGCTACACAATAGGCTATCTGTGCTGTGTCCACCACGGGTATCGAAATTAAGTTTTAAGTCCGCAGACATACCGCTATGTCATTGGGGAGCATCTGTGCTGTGTCTGCCATGTGTATCAAAATCCGGTTTTTAGCGTTATAAGTCTTCAGACATGTAATGTGAATGTATTCTTCATATTAGGTTAATGGAATATATGCTTTCTCAAAATAAATTAAATGAGAAGAACTTTGTAATTATGTGGCTGTTTTTTGTTTTTTTTAAACCGATTGTGTTCTGCTTTGCTGTTAATCATAAAGCTACACAATGGGCTATCTATGCTGTGCCCACCAAGGGTATCAAAACCGGTTTTTAATGTTATAAGCTTTCAGACTTACTGCTGAGACACTGGGGGGCTTTTTGTACCGAACACAGCCCAATGGTTAGCATGCTGGACTATGAAAATTAGATTCTGTATTCACGTCCTGTTACCACCAAAAAAAATATAAAAAATCTGGTACCGCACTGTGGGGCTGCTAGTGTATTATAAGAGTGATGGTCAAGTCCACTATTCAGTATTAGGTAAGTGTATCCCAAAAGTTGGGGATAGCTTCTGTTAACTATCTCCCTTCCTCTAGTCTACCACTTCAAAACTAGGGACGGCAGTGCAATTAGTCCTCATGTAGCTTTGCACTAATTCTAACAAAACAAATGTGTTAATTTGTTCCTTACCAAAAATGAAAGGTGTGAACTGATAGTGATATCACATGAGGAAGATAATGAAACCACCTAAAGTTTTACATTAAAAATAACATGTTTTAATTTTCATCTTTCAAAAGGATATTTTTTCTTCTATCCATGGCACAAACTCAAAAAATGTACAGCACTGAATTGATTTAGTAACTCACTAATTAAATGTCTGGTTAACTAATTAACTCACTGACTAACTAATCAACTGTATGGTGTTTTTATGCAATATGTTTTTGTTTTTTGTCAAAATCTAACGAAAATTAGAGACATTACGTCAAACCTAGACACTCATGAAATTTCTAGGCATTATCACGTAGGATCATTACGTCATTCCAAAACTCCCTCTAGCAAATAACACAAAGCGCCTAAATTAAAATAATAAAACATGGGACATAACAATACTATATTTATTCGTAAGATAAAATTAATATAGCAAATAATGAATTAAAAAACATAGAAAACCTTATAGAAATGATAAAGTTTTAATTTTCACGTTTCAGAAGAATTTCTCCTCTCGTATCTACAGTGCAAGTTCGAAAAATGTACAGTACTGAGATGACTTACTCACTAATCAGTTGTAATATATCGAATACTTATAGTTTTCATCTGTAAAATCAACTTTGAAGCACTCTAGCTAAGACTGTATACTTTATTTATCTGTAAAATCAAAGTAATGTAGCTAATAGCTAAGAGTGTACGTTTTATTTATTTGCAAAAAAAAAAAACCAAATAAAGTGACAACACTAAAATCATATCCTTTTGTTTTTATAAAACAAAGTGTTGTGGGTGTTTTTGTTTTGTTTTGCATGTTTAAATCATATTGTATTACGTTTCTTCCAAACCATCAACATAAGCGACTGAATTTTATTCTGTCTAGGCCAGTGGCCTCGTGGGTTCAAACCTGCTCAGTCTCAATTTTCATTTATCTAGAATAAACTTCCAAGTTTACAGGACAGTGCACCATTCTCTATAATTGAAACATCACTACTGACACTTCTAACCACAAGTTCCAAGAAATGGATTCTGAATCTTATCAGCCGATTGACACAGTTCACGAGTGCAAATTCTGCCTATAATGACCAATGAAGTAAAAACCACAAGACAGGTTATGTGAAACGTTTCTGCTTCATTAGTCAAAGCAATTTTATGTAACTAGTACTACAAGTTAAAATTTTGAGTTAATCCTAATTTTAATATCTTAAGAAAAGTTTATAATTTTTAAAGTATGCCAGATATTCTACATAATGACATTGATTTCAAGTGCTTAATAAATACTTGAGCTATTTTTTTGTTAACAAATATATTTTAGGTTTTGTTTGCACTTGCTGTTAATTGAAAAGGTTGATTGGTTTTTATTATTAAAATATATAAAACATCAAAAACTTTATAAGGTTCGCAAGAAAGGTTTTATAAGTTCTGAAACAAAAATACCTATCAGTATAATTACAAACGTATAAAAATGATTATAACACAAATGAATAAAGCAAACACGAACACCTGAAGACTAAAGGCGGGAAGACTTTCGAAAAGTCGCCCTCTACGTTTGAGCTGCATAAGTAGATTGTATGGCCACCAACATATTTCTACAAGTATTTCTTTAATAGGCAGTTGCCGCCAATTTCACAATCAACTCAAAACGCTTGTTATTTAGCTATTTATTTAGCATACATATTTTGCAAGATCATATCATTTGCTTTTTGGTATCTTAAATGGATGGTATATTTTACTCTGAGGTTAAAGAACCCACGTCATCACACGTAAGTAGTAAGAAAAACAAACTGAAATATTTCGTTAAAAATTTACATATATTTTTTTCTTCCTAGTATAGTATTATTTAACATTTCAAATCCAACATTCAAAATTGTTTATGTAACTGCAAAAGCTAATTAAGTATTGATTAATATTTGATTCCGATATTTAATTTCTTTAATAATTTTCTTTTTATGTTTTACCTTTTTATTTTAAAACAGTTGTAATACTACAGTTTTATTTTGCTGAAATAAGAAGTTGCCAGTAAAATGTCACGATTATAGGAATTATTGTGCATCAAAATAACTTCTTAGTGTGATTATTCAAGGAACCAATACCATTTAATTTCATTTTAAAACTATGCCAAAATGAAAATAGCATACAATAGGTTTTATTATTTGTTTTTGTTGGATTGTCCCTATACTCTAGTTTTGTAGATTATTACACATCAAAAGTAACCGTATATTATATGAACAATATTATGTCATGCATTTACACGTTGAGGTGGTTTTGTGATATTATGTTGAACAGTTATAATTTTTGAAAAAATGCAATCTCACAATAAAAATTGTCTTGAACTAAGACATAAGAAAACTTTAAGATTATCACAGTCAATAATTTATCCTTTACAGTTTTGGAGCCGTAAAGATATATATATTGTCATTTAATACAACCCAATAACACACGTTGATCAAAAGTGTAGATTGAAGTGGACCTCCCTTGAACTTAGACTTGGAGATTAAAACATTTCTGGAATACTAAGTTTGTTTATTATATTGCCATCTAGTGGCAATATTCTAAATAGCTCAGTTTTCTACTTGAAGTATGGCTGCTCAAGGAAGTAATATTGATAAAGAAACATCAAGTGGTAATAGTAATGGATCATTAGAACTGTATTGTTGGTATTCTTCGTTTTATAGTCGAAAGGTATTATTTTTAAGCTTATAATATTCATATATTTTTCATAAATATCACGAGTAACTACTTGTTAGTAATATTTATAATTATATAACTTATAAGCATCTGTCCAGAGTATTAACTTCAACTGTTCAAGTCGCATGACTGGATTGTGAAATGCACATTTTTTTGCCTTTAAGGCTTTATTTACATCTTATTAAATTTCACTTAACATACTGTGCATAATGTTATGTCCACTCGCCAAGCAATAATACCAGCACCTTCATGCTTAAAATAAATGTGCATGGATAATGTCAGTTGTAACTTGTTGCAAGGAGAAACCCTACTGGATACTAGATTGAAAATCATCTGCTACAATTCATGGCAAGGAAATTCTGTAGGCTAGAGCATGTAATATCTAATAATAATATGCAATAGAGTAAGCGCTTTATAACTTGTTGCCAACTAATTGGTCATTCATTATTCATGAAGAAAAGGCTTTAAAATGCTAAGTAAATAGAAATTTGATAGTAAATATAAATATATATGTAAGTTTAATTCTTAATTCATGAAATCCTGTATGTGCATTAACATTGCTCATATCCAAATATGTGCTTTACTATTTCTGACATTTTATAATCTAGATTTTTATTATGAGTTACTGCTTGAAAGGTTATTGTTTGCTGTTTAATATTTGTTTTGTAGGTGATTTATGTCTAACAGTGACATCAAATGTCATTAGTATTAATATAAGTTCATCTATTTACAATTTTTTTAACAACTTAAGATCTCTGCTTGTCATGTATATAGTCTCTAGATGTTCTACTTGATAGTTTTACTGACCTATTTTTTGTTAACAAATGTATTTTAGGTTTTGTTTGCACTTCATGAGAAATGTTTAAACTTCAAGTCAATTATTGTTGACTTAAGTAAAATTGAGCAATATCAGCCATGGTACCTAAGGTTAAACCCTCGAGGAGAAGTACCCACCTTAAAAGATGGAGTGAAAATCATACCTGATTCAGGGCGAATTCTTGACTACCTAGAAGATAATTTCAGTAATGGTATGATTGATTAATGTTATAAATGAAAAATATATTTTAGGAGAAACACATATCTCTTTAAATTTATAATGTATTAAAAAAGAAAAATATTTTACACATATTTAAAATTAAACAGGTATAACTGATAAGTACCTAATTTTATGTGCACAAAATTGTTATGTAAAGCTTGTTAACTTCAAGTCAGTGAAACAAAGGATTCAGTAATCAAGTATATATAATCTAGAGTTCTTTTAAGTTAATCTGAAAAATATATTGACAGTTGTATGTGATTTATATTTAAAAGTTTGTTTACAGTCATGTATAATTTCGAAAATGTAAGTCACTTGCATGTATGATGATCTAATTTATACAAACATTTTTATTATGTGGTTATAAGGCTAAGCATGATCTAGTGGTTAATGTGCCAAGCTAAGTATAAGAATAGCTTGGGTTTGAGGGGTGGCATGCCATAGATCATGTTTCGCACTTTCAGCTGTGGGGGCATTATATATGTGCAAGTGTGGTAGTCAGTCCTATTACTTGGTTAACTATAGCTGAACAGACAACAGGTCACCTTTGGTCAGCAGTTTCAAATTAAAAATGGCTAAACCTAGAAGTCTCTTGTATATCTCCTTAGCCCATATGTTGCATATAGTGTCATTCAAGTTGAGTTACCAATTATAAATTTTCACTAACTAGTTAACTATAACTTGATCACACACAGTAATCCTACTTATACCTGCAAATTTCTCATCTAGTAACAAAATATTACAGCTGTATAAACACACACACACACACACACACACACACACACACACACACTAATCAAACTTACAATTGTAAGTTTCTCATGTAGATGGAAAATATAACATTCACACATGTACACACACTAATTCAATGTATACTTACATGTTTCTCCTTTAACATAACATTTTAGAAAAACATGGGAACTATTCATCCATCTCAACTGTCCCACACTCTAAACTAAACTAAAACTATTATAAAAAAAAAAAAGAAAAATTTAAAGCCAGTCCTTATCATTCATATACTTATCAAGATTTTGCTTAAACTCGCTTAAATTTACTGCCTCTACAACATCCTAAATTCTTTTCTTTATCTCCTTTTCTACTGTTTGTCTTACTCTAACATATTAAATGTTAGACCTATGTCTATTGTTAGGCTTATCACTTCTATGGTAGTTAACTTCATGCCGAACTTTCCTTGCCTGTAACTTTGCTATAATCTGCTATTATCTCTTATTATAACAAAAGCTAAACAATAATGAGATATTCACTCACAAAATATATTAATCAATAATATCTAAAGCAAACAGTCTTTTATATCATGACATAAACCACTCTTCAAGATAAAATATTTATTTATTTTATTTTTTTACTATATACAAAGACTGTTTTTAGTTCATACACAAAGTGTTCACACAGGCTACATTAACATTTATAGTTCCTTTTTCTCTCTTAGCGTAGGGTCTTCAGTAGGGCTTCTCCTTAACAGGATCCCTCATCTTGACCTTGTGTTGCTTGAGGTCCATAGTTCCTAATTATTCTGTATGCTGACATAGTAGATTTTGTTCCTCTTTCTGTCAGTCAGTTTGACATTCATGTTGACGTCCTTGTACGTCTCATTTCTACTCAGTGCTCTTAGGCTTAATAGGTCCTTATCTTCTGTAATGAAATCACTATATTCAGATTCTACTTCCATGACAGCCACACCTGCCATATCCATTTGTACATCAATAGCTACACTTGCAAGGTCTTCTTCTCTCTCGAAGTACCTCTTCAACAGATTGGCATGGTAGACCTTAATCGTCCCATTCACATTCATCTTGTAGTCCATTCTGTTGAGTACTTCAAAAGGTCCTTTCCATTGCAGGGTGAGTTGTTGTGGTCTGTAGGTAGCAGAACTAAGACCATTTGTCCAACTTGAAATGTCGACCCTTGGCCTTGTTATTATAAAAGTGTTTGTGAGTAACACTCTTTTGATAGGTCTGGTTTAATGCTCTTTTCTGGTTCTCTGTTCTTTAAGTCTCTTCTCTTTGCTTGACTTCCTCTCAGGCACTATCCCAAAGTTTCTGCAATGAAGTGTCTTTTGCATTTTCTTCAGCTCCTGTGAAACTACATTTGAGTGACCACTCTATGAGACTTTAAGAGGTTAGCTATCTTCTTTGCTCTTTTTCCTTTGAGCTTTTCTGATGACAGGAGATGCTTCATCAAATTTCTGTCATATAGTGGTTCCTTGATACACATGGCATCAAGCTCTCCTACATAATATTGAGTATCCACCTTTATTTTTGCCATGAGAAACTTTCTCACTGTCCCATCAGTTAGCACTCACAGGCATACCTTGCCTGTCATCTGACCAATGAACACTAGACTTTTTCTCATTGCTGCACTACTGCACCCAGTGTCTCATAGAACATTCACTTTCTTGTCCCCAACATAGCCTTCATATATTGGCATATTATGGTTTGTTGGCATCTCTTGATATTTGTCGCATGCTCCCGTCACTATTGGCACTGTTGATACGTTTGCTAACTTGAGCCGACCATTAGTCGTGCACTGATCGATCTTGTTTTCTTGTATTGAATTTGACAAGCAGTCTTGATTCTCTTTCTTCTGGCAGCAGTATCCGTAGTTTCAGTCAGTCACTCTTTTCTTTCTTACTAGCACTGTCTTTGTAAATGTCTCCAGCTGCTTTATGTTGAGGTTTCTGCTGTTGTTTGCTCTTAAAGGACTTGCACTCCTTTCCAATGTGTCCCATTTTATAACAAACTTAGCATCTCTTCTCCGTTCTATCTATTAACTTCATGTCATCTTTGGTAAACTCCTGCTTCTGGTCAGCCATTACTGGTTTCAAATTTAAGTGGGCTTTCTTGGACTTTCCAATTATACGACCTTCATGGATTTCCATATACTGTTCTGCCATCTTAATCATCTTGTTTACGTCTTTTGGTGCTCTCTCCTTTAGGAACAGTGACATATCAGTTGAACACATGGTCATGAACTGTTCACGTCCTAATAGGTTTGCCTGTCCTTTAAAACTATTTTCACACATGGTCATGTCAGTCCATCTGGTGAAATATTGCCACAGACTTGGCACAAACTGAAATAGTTTCTCCAGTGTCGAGTTTGACTCATCTAAACTTCTGGCGAAAACCTTCTTCAGTAAGTTCATATCGTTTCAGTAAAGCCATGTTTAATTTGTCATAATTGTTACGTATTGCGAATTTGAAAAAGTCCAAAGCCGATATTTTAGTTAATTTACGCTATTTGCCAACAAGTTTGACACGCATCATTTTCGTTTTTCACACAAATACGTTTTAATATACACACAACAATACAATTTACAGTTACAATTACTACAAATAGTTACTACAAACAATGATTTATAAACAAAAGTTTCACAAACTTACAAACACTATAAAGTTTTCTTTCTAGTCTGGAACTTCCTTGATATCGATGAGCGAGTTGACAGAGATATATTTCACTTAATGGGAAGCTAGCTAGCTTTGTCTCTTACTGATCACATGGCAATTTTTCTACCATTGAAGTTAGGTAATGTTTTCATAAAAATACTAATGTCCGATGAGAATCCACAGAAGTTAAAATGATTTGTAATGTTCCAATTTAGTAAATGCTCCTGTTCAAATATCTTAAGTTTTCTGATTGATAAGCATTATAACAATCACAGTTATAGCTTCCAACGTTTATAGCACACTGAATATAGTGAACTAATAATAGATACTCCTCTTGGCGCATTGCATTGGTTATATTTATAGCCGTGGGAAAGTTTTCTAGAAAATTCAATCTTACATAACAATACTGGTTAAAGCATTTACATGTATAGATATATTGTTGATTCTTACTCTTGAGAATCTTCTACAACTTTGGAGAATAGGCAGGAGTTTTGCAATACCTATCTAATAGTATAAGCTATGTATGTTTTTAAATATAAACTTAATCTAAACAATATTCATAATAAAATAGATGCATAACAAATTCGTTACATAATCCATGGCATCTTCTGAAGTTATGCCTGCATATACTTATAGGCCTTTTCCTGTGTGGAGTGGGCTGAGACAGGCTGCCCAATTGCCTTTATCCCAGTTATGACTTTGGGCGAATCTTTCATATCTCTCCAGGAAAGCATCAATGTCATTTTTATGTTCATCAAATTTGAGCAGATTGGGTTGGCTAGCCCTGACTTCACTGTCATTCTTGGGTCCTCCTTCTTTCATCGGGTGAGTTTTGCTATCTCAATTTGTGCTCTTATTCTCTCGATTTATAATCACTTTTCTCTCTCTCTTTCTTCAATTTTTGCTCTTATTCTTTCTCTCTCTATTTCCAGTTTTTCCTTTCTCTCATTTTCTTCTCTCTCCATTTGTATTCTCATTCTTTCTATTTCTTGTTTCTCCTTTCTCTCATATACTTCTTTCTAAATTTGTCTCCATTCTTCTCTCTCTTGTACTTGTTGTTTAACAAACTCTTAGTTTACTGTTGAGATCCTCTTTCTACCCATTTATCAAAATCTGTTGACATGGTTATATAGCGTAATTGTAATCCCTACATTATTTTTGTTACTACTACAGTTGTGCATATATAGGCCTACTTATTTATAATGTCCATCATGTTTTCTTCTATTGCCATTTACCACTGTATAATCCTGGCTGTGGCTCACCAATTGTCAAAACAAAAAAGGCTTTTACTTATATTTCTTAATAGTATAAGTATATATTAGGTTGTTGTTGGGCTTCGGATTCTTCAACAGTAGATGTCTATGACTAGTTAGCAATAAATTCAATGATAAATGAACAGCATGCACTTCACTTGTTTTCAAAATAATAATATATTCAGAACAAGTTAAATGTATGTACAACAAATTCTTCACACTATGAAGATTACAGGCATATCATAAGCACTATATGTATAGTTCTTTTCTTCATGTCAAAAGTCCAATGAGGCCTATTCAATTACTTTAGAATTTCAGTTGACAAGCCGAACTAT